GGAGAACTCTCCGCCTCTGTCCGAGTGCACACGCAGAACAGGGAAGTCCGAGCCAAAGCTCCGCGTGAGCTGGAGACGAGCCGCGCGGATCCAGTCGATCAGCACCTCAGTGACATCACCCTTGCTGCGCAAGGAAAAGACCGTGGTGTAACGCGAGTAGTCGTCAACAACGAGCACGAAGTAGTGCTCATGACCCTATCCACGGATGCGGGCTGTGCCCCACACGTCCATGTGAAGCGTCTGCAACGGGGCCTCTGTCGGAGGAAACTGGGAGGAGTGAGGGGCAGCCCGCTGGCGCCCCTCGACACAGGGGACACAGGCAGGGCCAGGGCCCTGAGGAAGGGGAGGGAGGGACCGGGGGAGACCAGACACAAGAAGACGGGAGGCCATGCCTCTAAGCCGAAGCTGAGAGGGGTGACCAAGACGGTGGTGCCAGAGGAGAGTCTCATGAGACAAGAGACGACACGAACAGGGGGCAGACTCAGGACCAAACCTAGACGCTGCAGCAAACACCTGACCGGACGAAGCGACTCTACCAGACTCAGTAACGGGAGGAGACGCAGTGGTCAGTGTGTACAGGCTCGACCCCGGCTGCCGGGTAAACGTAGCCAGGTGCCGGCCTGTGCTAGCCTCGGTACAGTGCGTCACTCGCTGACGCGCAGGAGTGAACTGGTGTACTCCCCCATCCTGTAGGTCAGCACCACTCACCAGGTTCGTCGAGAACGAGGGGAGGTAGAGACCAGACAGGGTGCCAGAGGGAGCCGTCGGACACGGGAAGACTGTGGAGAAGCGAGACAGCAGAGGACCCCCGGAGGGGTCAGCCAGAGACACCGCAACCGACCGACTAAGCGGCGTGAGTGTGGTGCGGTCCCGAAAGAAGGAGCGAGACGCCCCAGAGTCAAGGGTGAAGGTGAGGGAGGCCGAAGCCGACGTAGTACCTGAGAGCGCAGACTCACCAGTACCTGAGGACGCAGAGACACTAGCACCTAGAGCAGTAGCGTCGCAAGCACCTAGGGCAGCAGCCTCAATGCCCGGTCCGGGCGGGAAACAGCGGTAACAGTCACCCTCATCACTATGAGACACAGCATACATGGCAGAGAGAATAGCATCGAAGTCAAGATCAAAGATGGCAACACCCGCCCTAGACAGCTCACCCCAGCGAGGAATCTCTGAGGCCTCCGGGAACTGGTGACGCCACGCTTCCGTCAGGCGGCCAAAGCTGCGCTGGGTGGGGTGCGGGCCCCCACACTGCTCACCCGCACGGTCGCCGGTGCGCAAGACGTAGGTGCACGGACCAAAACCCCCACCCCGCTGGCGTGCAGTGTACCACTCACGGAGCTGCTGAGGGGACAGGGTCTCACGACCGCGCTGCTGCTGCTGGCGCGCGCCACTACCGGAGCCACTCCTCTGCGAAGACCCGCGACTAGCTCCACCGCCACCCCCACCGCCTCCGCCGCCTCCGCTACTGCCGCCGCCTCCACCGCCGCCTCCACCGCCGCCTCCACCGCCGCCTCCTCCGCCACCTCCGCTCCCACCGCCACCGCCGCCGCCGCCTCCGCCTCCACTGCCGCCACCGACCCCCCCACCCCCACCTCCACTCCCACCGCCACCCCCTCTACCCCCACCGCCTCCACCTCCACCTCCACCGCCTGCTCCTCCAGCTCCCTTGCCCCCCTTGCCCTTGCCAGGGCGGCGTCTCCCGCTAGGGGCAGACGCCGCACCGACCGACTCAAGACCAACGAGGTCAGCCGTAGCAGCAGAGGCAACAGAGGGCAGCAGGGGGGAGGGGGAACACCCCTCAAAGATGGGGGTGCGCGGGTCACCTCGAGAGGCTCCTACATCGACTATACTCTTCTCCGCTGCTAAGAGGGCCTTCTCGAAAAGGTCGACAGTGAGTGTGGTGGGACAGACCGAGAGGAAGTGGTCCCTGACTACACGAAGGGAGTCACGGAGGCGGGTGACTAGAAAGTAGAGAGTGATGTACATGGGGGGGGGTTCTTGGCGCAAAACTCAACAGGAAGCGCAGCGCGGTAGCGGGTGTCACTAGTGCGGAGGTGCGTAATGAGGTCAGCGACTGTGGGAAAGGCAGCTAGGTCAGGGAAGAGAAAGGGTAGCATGAGGCGGCTCAGTGGAGCAGTGGCAGGGGAAGAGTAGCGCGCAACTACAGCGTCGTACAAGGTCTGAGCACTCTTGTACTGGCTAAATTGCGCACGCTCGGAGGTAGGCAGGTGGCGACGCACAGTAAGACGTGCAGCTGCATCGCGCGTGGCCCACTGGGAGCGAACAATGGGGTCAGCATCAGCAGCAGGGGCAGGAGAGGCGCCAGAGGTGAGGTCAAAGAGAGAGAGACCGTCTGCCCTATCGCACTGTAAGTACACCTGCAGGTCGTCGACCCAGACCTCAAAGTCAATGGCGCGACCCTCAGCATCAAAAGCGAGGACACTAGGGGTAGCCATGACAGCAGTAGCCTAGTAGTACTAACTGTAGGACAGGGGCCGTGCAATGACAGGAGCGCTGCTCTCACCAGACAGGGCGGGTCGGGCAGCTCAGCAGCACAGCAACACGGCAACACGGCTGCTCGGACGGCTTAGCAGCAACTGCGGCTCGGGCGGGTCGGGCGGGTCGGGCGGCTCGGCTCCTCAGCGGCTCAGGCGGCTCGGGCGGCTCGGGCGGGTCGGGCAGCTCGGGCGGCGCGGGCGGTGTAGGGCCGTAGGGCCGCTGGTAGGGCGGTGGGGCCGCAAGGTAGGTGGCGGGGCCGCAGTGGGAGGCGGCGGGGCCGCAGTGTGAGGCGGCGGGGCCGTAGCGAAGAACGGCGGGGCCGCAGCGAGAGGGGCGGCGGGGCCGCAGAGACGGGCGGCGGGGCCGCAGTGAGAGGCGGCGGGGCCGCAGCTAGAGAGGCGGCGGGGCCGCGGAGACGGGCGGCGGGGCCGCAGAGACGGGCGGCAGGGCCGCAGAGACGGGCGGCGGGGCGGAAGTGAGAGGCGGCGGGGCCTCAGCGAGAGAGGCGGCGGGGCCGCGGAGACGGGCGGCGGGGCCGCTGAGACGGGTGGCGGGGCCGTAGTGAGAGGCAGCGGGGCCGCAGCGAGAGAGGCGGCGGGGCCGCGGAGACGGGCGGCGGGGCCGCTGAGACGGGCGGCGGGGCCGCAGTGAGAGGCGGCGGGGCCGCAGGGAGAGAGGCGGCGGGGCTGCGAAGACGGGCGGCGGAGCCGCTGAGACGGGTGGCGGGGCCGCAGTGAGAGGCGGCGGGGCCGCAGCGAGAGAGGCGGCGGGGCCGTGGAGACGGGCGGCGGGGCCGCTGAGACGGGCGGCGGGGCCGCAGTGAGAGGCGGCGGGGCCGCAGCGAGAGAGGCGGCGGGGCCGCGAAGACGGGCGGCGGGGCCGCAGGGAAGGGCGGCGGGGCCGCAACAAGAGAGGCGGCGAGGCCGCCGAGACAGGCGGCGGGGCCGCAGTGAAGGGCCGCTAGGGCGGCTCGACAAAGTGAGGGCCCGGAGCGCGACTCGGGCTGAGCGCGCTTCGGGCAGGAAAAAAAAAAAAACTCTATGTGGTGGGCCCTAAGCACAGTTCCCAAGGGGGAACCTGCTCGATACCATGAGAAGATTAGAACGAGAATGGGATGAACTATGAAATGAGTGAGTACAAGTACTAACCCTAATTGGGTTGTATCCCCTATGGGATACCCCACTATAGCCTACACAAATGTATAAGCTATATAGCATTCTGACACTTCGCTCACATTTGGTACTCGTTTTGACACCTTAGTGCAATTCTCACTACTTCGATTAATTGCATCCGTAACAACTTGATAGAGTCAAAATGTGAACGTATACAATTGCTACGTTAGTTGATCGCATATGCCATCCTCTCATTATTTCAGGTTCTTTTCCCAATACTTCATTTTCCTACCGTAGCTGTTTCAACATTGCATGCGCAAGTAATCCCTAATCTCACTCCCTTTAATGCAGTCCAAAACAAGATGCAATCCTTGGAGTTTTGGATCAACATGTTAGCACATTAACCCCAGTTCTTCAAGCCAAAAGTCTCAGCTCTACGCGCTAGTTTCTCGTGTTAGTCCATTCCCTTCCCCTTGCAACCCACTCACTAAATCTACATCCTTCCTCTCTTCATCCCATCGAATATCTCTGGCTCCGAAGTCACGCTTCCTCCTGCTCTTCCTGCCCTCCCGTTCCCAACCCCCCTCCTCTCCGCACCCCAATAGCCTTCTTTCAATTTTGCTTCTTTCCTGTTCCTGCTCCTCGCTGTCCTCCTCCCCCTCCTCCACCTTCTCCCCCTCATTTAGGTGTTGCCCTTCCTGCTGCTGCAGCTGCTCCCTGTAACCTTCCTGCCTCTGCTCCTCTCTCAAAAACACATCACCAGTGGCAGCAGCAGAATTAGGGTCAGAGTCAGCCGCAGCACCAGACGCCGCAGCAAAGGAACCACTAGCACCAGCACCAGCACCAGCGCCGTCAGCAGCAGCAGCAGCTGTTAAAGCAGGTGTGGCTGAGGTGGTGGGGAGAGCGAGAGCAGGAGCAGTGGATGATCCATTGAGCTTCTGAATCAGCACATCCTTGTGATAGCCCTGAAAGGGGAGGGAAGGGGGGAGGAGGGGAAGAGGGGTGGTATGAAAAGCTACGATGAGCAGCAGCGAGGAGAAAAGGTGGAGGAGCCATTGAGCTTCTGAAATAGCCCGTCCTTGTGATAGCCCTGTAGAGAGGAGGGGCGGGGAGGGGAGGGGAGGGGAGGGGAGGGGAGGGGAGGGTGGGGAGGTGGGGAGGCGGGGGAGGGGGAGGGGGGGAGGGCAGCACCACAAGGAACACGTGAAGGGAAGCGAGCAGGAGAAGCCATTAATCTTCTGAATCAGCACGTCCTTGTGATTGTGAGGCAACGCGCGACTGTATGTGAGAGAGCGACAAGCAAAGAAGAGGAGTGAGCAGGAGGAATGACCTCAACCACAAAGCATTGATCTGCACCAAAAGCACCGACCTGCACCGCAGAGCACCCACCTGAACGACAAAGTTGCGGCGCTCGCAGTCGAGGAACATGTTGAGGCGCCAGGCAGGCACGCTGCGACAGATCTTGTCCCTCGTGTACCCGAAACTCAGCTGGTCGCGGGACGTGAAGCGATCAACCTCGTTGAACCAGAGGCACGCCATGAGATTGCTGAGAGCCGTGTGCTCGCGCATGATCACACACCCCTCGGGCACGTCTGGTTGGGGTTGTGTGGATGGGGAGATGACAGGTGGCTCATGAACATACGCTCAGCTGGTCGCGGGACGTGAATCGGTCCGCCTCGTTGAACCAGAGGCACGCCATGAGGTTGCTGAGCGCCGTGTGCTCGCGCATGATCACACACCCCTCGGGCACGACTGTGCCGTGAAATGTGGATGGTAGGGGGGAGAAGCGCAGGGTTTGAGGTTCGGCACGTTGCTCAGCGCTCAAGAGCACACACCCATCCAGCACGTCTATGCTGGGTTTTGAGCATGGTGGGATGGTAGAGGAAAACACAAGTCAATCGGTCCACCTTGTTGAACCAGAGGCATGCCATGAGATTGCTGAGAGCTGTGTGCTCGCGCATTATCACACACCCCTCGGGTACATCTGTGTTGGGTTGTATGGATGGAGGGCTGGATGGTAGGGGATATAGGGACTCAGGACACCCACCAGCACGGCCAAGCAAGCACCCACCGCTAATAATCGGCATCTTGTCCTCTGAAAAAGGAGTCATGCCGTCGCTGCGGTAAACCTTCATCTGCTCGTCAATGCTCGCGTTGCGGTACTTCCCCGCCGCCTTGTTCGCCTCCGCCTCCACGAACACGTCAAACCGCTTGTAGTGCTTCGATATTGCCCACGAGAAGTTGCCCCGCCACAGAAACCTGAAGGTGTGGGAGGGAGTGTGCAGGGGCGGTAATGGGTGGAGATGAATGGAGATGGGTAGGAGTGGGTGCATGAGCCTTGTTGGCCTCCGCCTCCACAAATACGTCAAACCGCTTGTAGTGCTTCCAGATCGCCCAGGAGAAGTTGCCCCGCCACAGAAACCTGAAGGTGTGGAAGGAGTGTGCAGGGTTGGTGATGGGTGGGGATGGATGGAAGTGGGTGCATGGGCCTTGTCGGCCTCCGCCTCCACAAACATGTCACAGCACTTGTAGTGCTTCGAGATGGCCCAGGAGAGTTGCCCCGCCCCAGGAACCTGAGGGCGTATGAATGGACGCATGGGTGCATGGGGTGGGTATGGGTGGAGACGGGTGCGAGTGGGTGGTGACAGGTGGCCTCTGCCTCCACAAACACGTGTCAAACCACCTGTAGCACCTCGAAATCGCCCACAGATGACCATACAGCACCACATCGCACCATACCACACCATATCGCACCATAACGCACGGCACCATACCACACCATAGTCCCACACTGTACCGCACCGCACCGCACCTCTCGAGGATCATGTAGGGGTCTTGCACGAGCTGCAGCTTGGCATCCACCCACATGGAGAACTGCACGTTGGGGAAGAGGCGGTGAATCAACAGCTTGGGAATCTGCGAATTCGTAAAAGAGAAAGGGAGGGAAGTGAACAGATGGAGGCATAGAGGGGGGGGCGGGGGGGTATGGAGCAATTAGAAGCAGGCCTGGCGTCCACCCACATGAAGAACTGCATGTTGGGGAAGAGGTGGTGAATGAGCAGCATGGGGATCTGCATGGTGTAAAGGGAGAGGGGACGGGGGAGTGGGGGTTCGGTGAATACAGAAGATCCATGGGGAGGATAAGGAGTTGTTGGAGGCAGGAGTTGTTGGAGGAGGAGTTGTTGGAGGCAGGAGTTGTTGGAGGAGGAGTTGTTGGAGGAGTTGTTGGAGGCAGTAGTTGTTGGAGGCAGGAGTTGTTGGAGGAGTTGTTGGAGGCAGTAGTTGTTGGAGGCAGTAGTTTTTGGAGGAGGAGTTGTTGGAGGCAGTAGTTGTTGGAGGCAGTAGTTGTTGGACATTTGTGTTACAGGTGGGAGCTGTGCGAGTGCTGCTTGAAGCACTTCAGAACAAGGTCCTTGGGTGCAAAAAAACGGCTGCAAGGACCCTTCACAATCTATCATTTTTTAAGGTTCTTAAATAACGATGATTGTAAAGGTTCCTTGCGGCCGTTTTTTCGCACCCAGGGACCTTGTTCTGAAGTGCTTCAAGCAGAACTCGCACAGCTCCCACCTGTAACACAAATTTCCAAAAGTAGTGTTGCGTTCTCATACGCCATACCCCAAGCCCATGGTGGGTTTTATTCAAGGAAGACACTATTGGAAATATTCCGCCAACAAGTGTCTTCTGAGTCTTGTTGACTTCTGATTATCTTAGAGGAACCTAAGAGTGCTACATGCATCCTCCTTTGCACAACCACCGGCCGCCATAGCACCATCCTCCATGCATTCGCTCTTACCTCCTATCAGATGCTTACTCTTACCTTGCGTGTGCGCCGGGGGGCCCTGTAAGGAAGGTTATGCACCACCACCAGCCGCCACAGCCCCACGCGACGGGTGTGCGGCTGCTTCAGAGTGCCATCCCTTATGAACTCAGTGAAGGTGAAGTGGTCGACAAACATCACGAAGCACAGCCACACGCTCTCTCTCTCTCTCTGCGTAACTGCTCCTCTGCTCTCTCTACTCAACTGCTCCTTCACTCTACCATCATTGTACTCCCATCCTATAACTCGCCCTCTTCTCACCTTGCCCATGCGCTTGGGGTCCCTGTAGGGAGGGTTGTGCACCACCACCAGGCGCCACAGCAGCCCCACGCAGCGGGTGTGGGCAGGGCTGCTTGAGGGCGCCGTCGCGGATGAATTCAGGGTTTAGGGTGTGGTCCGTTTGAGACGTCTTAACAACTGCAGGTCGTGTCGTCCACAAACATCACGAAGCAATCACAGCCCTTTGCACTGCTCTTCTGCTCTCTCTGCTCAACTGCTATTTCACTCTACCATCACCATGACCCTACCCAAAACTCGCCCTCACCTTGCCGGTCCGTCTGGGGTCCCTGTAGGGCGGGTTGTGCACAACCACGAGGCGCCACAAGCCCACTCGCCGCGTACGCGGCTGCTTGAGAGTGCCGTCTCGAATGAACTCGTTGAAGGTCGTCTCATCCACAAACATCACGAAGCACAGCTGCTGCCTCGCCTCCTCGCTGATGTTACTTGGTTGCTGCACCACATCATACGCGCCTGGTGGGAGGGAGAGGGAGCGTGGACATGGGCATGTGGGGGAGCATGAGAGAGCAGGCCAGAGTGTGGCGTGCAGTGCTCGGGTGCTGCAACAGGTTCTATCCGCCTGGTTGGGGAGAGGAAGCTCAGGGGCACGTGGGAGAGCAAGCGGACAAGAGGGTGGAAAATTAGCTCAGTGAAGATCGTCTAATCCACAAACAATACAAACCACAGCTGCTGCCTCGCCTCGTCGCTCGCATTGCTCGGCTGCTGCACCACGTCGTATGCTCCTGGTGGGCTGGAGGAAGGGGGAGCCTGGGCAGGGGACTGTGGGCGACTTTTGAGACGTCTCATATGGCTGAGGGCAGGGGACTGTGGGCGACTTTTGAGACGTCTCATATGGCTGAGGGCAGGGGACTGTGGGAGAGCGAGTGAGTGCAGGTCAGAGTGTGGCTGCCACACACAGCATCTCAAGGCCTGCACCAAAGACGGCATAAATGACCACGATGTCGTGACTAGCAGCGTTCAACAAATCGCCTACTCTCACTCACACAGCACAGCACAGCACAGCACTGCATAGCACCGCACAGCACAGCATAGCACAGCACAGCACAGCACAGCTCAGCACAGCACAGCACAGCACAGCACAGCACAGCGCAGCACAGCACAGCACAGCAAAACACTGCACAGCCCAGCACAGCACAGCAAAACACAGCACAGCAAAACACAGCACAGCACAGCACAGCACAGCACAGCACAGCAAAACACCGCACAGCCCAGCACAGCACAGCAAAACACCGCACAGCACAGCACAGCACAGCAGAACACAGCACAGCAAAACACAGCACAGCACAGCACAGCACAGCACAGCACAGCACAGCACAGCACAGCACAGCACAGCACAGCAAAACACCGCACAGCACAGCACAGCACAGAGCCTACACCATGCCACACAACACTCTCTCACCAGAGATGGCGGAAACGACCACGATGACGTACCGTAGCAGCGCTCCATGAGCCGCCTGCTCTCACTCACCATGCACAACACACAGACCACCAGTGACCACACTCTCATGTGCCACATGTGCCAACTCCCAAGCTACAACTCCCAAGCTACATTTCCCAAGCTACAATTCCCAAGGCCCTCACCGAAAATGGCGGAGACCACCACATTATCATAGCAGCGCTCCATGAACCGCCGATCATCACTCACCACGTACAGCACAGCACACAGACAGCACCATGCCTCTCTCTTACAACACTCTCTCACCAAAGATAGCCGATACGACCACAATGTCATAGCAGCGCTCCATGAACCGCCTGTCATCGTCCGACACGTCAAATCCCGTGCCGTTGCCCACCTTGCCGCCCCAGACAAAGCTGAGTAGGAGTGGGGTAAGGGTGAGGGGGAGAGGGGAGGTGTGGTGGAGAGAGGAGAGGAAGCGAGGAAAGAAAAAAATATCATTGTATGGTCCATTGCAAAGCAGTCCGGCACAACAAAGCCCGTGCCGTTGCCCACCTTGCCGTTGCCCACGACAAAGCCCACGGCAAGGTGGGCACGAGAAAAAGGATCATCGTGCCGTTGCCCACCTTGCCGGGAGTGATGATCCCTCGACTGAAGGATTCTTGACTGGCGGATTGCGTTGAAATGTCTCAAAATTTGGATCTTACCGCAGCGACCGATGCAAGTTGAACCGCGGCCAGAGAGTAACTGTGGACTGACTTGACTCATTCTCCCGACTATTTTCCCTTCTTCCATCCCTCCCTGCCCCTTCTCCCTTCACCATTTGCCCACTAGCGCCCCTTTTCCCTCTCACCCGCAGTGCACGCGCATGCTCTCTTGGATCTTAAACGAGTCCTCCCGCTGCTGCAGCGACTGGTGCCCATTGAACCGCGGCCGGTTGCCCGCCCGCCTGGCGGCGCGCTCACTGGCGTCGTCCTCGGTGACGTACGCCAGGTGCTTCAGAATCGGCTCCTCCGTGTGGCCCCGTGAAGGGCGCATGCCCATGGCGTCTGGTAGCGGCAGGTAGCACACGGGGCAGGCTGGTTTGGGGAAAGGGGGGCGGGGGAAAGGGGGAGGAGGCAGATATGTGGTTGTGGCAGGTAATTCAGAGTTAGATGGGTCCTGGCAGGTCCATAAAGAGGAGATGGGGCGCTTTGTGTGCGCCTGGCAGCCCGCTCACTGGCGTCGTCCTCGGTGACGTACGCCAGGTGCTTCGGAATCGGCTCCTCCGTGTGGCCGCGGGGGGGCCGCATGCCCATGGCGTCTGGTAACGGCAGGTAGCACACGGGGCAGGCTGGGGGAGGGAGGGTTGTGGAGGGAAATAGGCAGGTGTGTGGGTGGGTGTGTGTGCGCCTGGCAGCCCGCTCACTGGCGTCGTCCTGGGTGACGTACGCCAGGTGCTTCAATATCGGGTCCTCCGTGCTTCAGGGAGGAGGCAGTGAGCGCGGCGTGGTTGCAACAGGCACGTCAGCTACGGGCAGTGGCAGGTAGCACACGGGGCACGCTGCTCACGGGTGGACGGGCGAGGGGAAAACATTGAGGGGGGGAGGGGGGAGGGGGGAGGGGGGAGCACGGAACACACTGCACAGGCTGAATGGTGAAGTGGGGAAGAAGGAGGCAATGTGGAAGGACTGTGGGGGCTAAGAAAGGCCCGAGAGGGGTGAGGGGGGTGGAGTAGAGGTTTGGGCGCCTGAGAGCGGGTGAGGAGGAGAAATGGTTATGGTGAGAGAGGAAGTGACCACAGGAGGCTGCACAGTCCAAAGCCGAGGCACTGTGCGGGAGGCTGCACAGACCACAGTGGTTACCTCAGGCGCTCGCGTGTGGATCCAGGGGTTACCCTAGGCACTCAAGTCTACGTCCAGTGGCTACCCCAGGCACGCACGTCTACAGTCCAGTAAATTCCCTGGGCACTCACGTCTAGGACCAGTGCGCTTCCTGTCGGTGGAAGGCGGTGGGAGGGTGAAATTGGCGCAGGGATGCGACGGGGGGAGAACAGGATCGAGAGGGTTGATCTGCGCAGGGGGAGGAGGCGGAGAGGGGGGAGGGGGAGGAGCAGGCGCGCGCACTCCCATCCCCCTTCTACTCTTCTTCGGTCGCTTCTCCCGCTTCGGCTTCTTCTCCTTCCGATTCTTCTTCTTCCTCTTCTTCTCCCGTAATTCATACACTCGCGCCTCCGTCTCAATCTCAACCCCCTCACCCTTAGCTGCATCCTGCCCCAACAAAGCACCCTGCCCTTCCAAACCGTTCTGCACCCTCGAATCATCCGTCTCCCCCAAAGCGCCCTGGCTCCCCAACTCATCCTGCGCTCCCGAAGCACCCTGTTCCCTCCGCTCATCCTGCTCCCCGCTTGCAGCGTTCTCCCCCCCCAAAGCATCAGGCGCAACCTCCCGCTCTCCCTCTCGCTCCTCAGCAGGCATAGACTGGCCGAGACCGTTCTGAACCGAAGTGTGGAACGAAGGCCGCTGCTCGTTCTGACTACCATCCGTAAGCGCGCTTGATTGGTCGACGGCGAAATGCAATCTTTCAATACCGGTTTCGGGATTCGCTGCACCCGTCCCTGTCAACGAATTTTCGCCGTCGGTTTGTGCAGGTGATGGCGAATCTACGGCCATCAGTGGACCTGTGTTATCCAACACACCGACCCTCTTTGTCGGTTCCACTGAAACACGGACGAACGAACGGCAAAACAACGGGGGAATGAACGGGAGAATGGTTAACCACGATGGAAAAGAAACGAAGGATCGCAGCTCGTCAACAGCATTAACAACGTCGCCTTCTTTTCGAAAAAATGTTAAAACCTACAATCGGCAGCAACTAAGCAACCAAGGACAAGCCAAATGGAACGAAAACGGAAGTTGGCTAGATAATCAGTCACATTCCCCAGTCTGTCGGTCAATCCTTGATACTAGTACCTTGGGGTTGCTGCGGCTGGCCGGAGAATCTGAGATCCTTGACGACGAAAATGGTGGAGATCGAGACGGCAGCCAGGAAGAGAACCATCATTGCTTTCCTCTTCCCTGGCAGGCTTCGTTTGTCGTTATTCATGGAGGACGACCTGGTGGGTGCGGGAGACGCGCTCGACGCGGAGAGACGTTGCGCCTTCAACGTCTTGTTGAGCGATCGCAGCGCGGTGAAGGAGGAGGATCGGTGTGCGACGATGTGCGACTCCTCCGGCGTCACAGGCGGCGATTCCATGACCGGAAGGAGCAGTTACACGGGGAGGATCGAGCTAGAGTGTTCATGAAGCACGCGCATGGCTAAGATTCTCGATTCTTGAGGCCTGGATTCTTTATGCCTGGATTCTTGAGCCTAGGATGCATGTCGAGGCCTCGTTAGATCCAAGGAGTGATAAGGACGTCGCGGAAACACTGTCGTAAGAATAACTACGATGGCCACATCGCGGTAGTTGCTTTATGAAGCATCGTAGCCGTTGACGTGATGGGTTATGGATGCCAGCCTACACCAATGCGGATTTCTACATGACTCGTTACAAGCCAGATTCGGCCAGCGCTCTGCTGACTTATAGGGTTGAAGCAAGATACGAACGAGAGTTGATAAGCCCGTCAATGTATCTCACGTCGTGTGAGGATTCTAAAAAGCTTCAGTCACTCCCTCACGCGACGAATGTCGCAGTTCCTCTGGATCTGAAATTGGAAAGCGTCCAGAGAAACAATTATGAAAATCGAGAAATCCAATCAGCAAGAAGGCAGCCGAGCGAACAAAAATGGGAGATATTACTACGAAGACATGACAGTCAGTCTCTAAAAAGGAAGAAAAACAAATGACTTGTAGTCAGCCATAGCTGAGCACCACATCCATCCAAGAGGACGACGGGAAGGTTTACTCTCGCCCAATACCTTATTCAGCCGATTGAAAATATTAATGAACCGCATCAAAATACCAGTAATCTCACGCGAAGTTCACTAACAAGCGAAGTTCACTGTCAAGAGGACCTGACAGGTGCTACAAAAGGAAGTTCTTCTAAAAGAAATGACTAATGAAAAAACGTGTGGGGAGAGAACCCGCACAACAGAACAGATCATTGGGATTTGATTGGTGGAAGCCAAATCTTCGCAAAAGGTGAAGCGGGCACGCGGTGGAAGCACGCGATAAGTGATGTGATGCTCGCGTCCAGAGGGTAACCCGGCCATACTATGCGAACCTCACGACAAGTGACGACTGCTTGCACGAAACGCCTTCTGTGTTTGTCGTCAACGGAACCACAGACTTGGACGATCGAGCGCAATCTGTGGGAACAGTGCGACGGCTTTGATGTTATCTTGGCCGCACGATGCCGCACAGAGCCTAGACGTGAAAGAGCGAGCTTAAATCACACTTCCAACTCGCTATGGATTGAGCACAGAATTCATTTCAGGGTTGAATGCCAATCTCTAGGGAAGAGGCTGGCCTCAGAGTTGTCGGCCTTCCCTCTTTGTCATATACTATTGACACGGGAACGCCATTCATGTCCAGGCTTTTCCTTCCCGCCTGAACAAGACACACAAAAAAGCAACGTTGAAGCAACAATAAGAACTTCAGGTCAAGTCAACTAAAAAAACAGGCATGTGCAAAAGCAAATATTGAAGCTGACATACCTCTAGAATTGCTGTGGTTAAGAGGCATGCTGGACTTCGTATTGTCGCAATCATCTCATTAGATTCCACATCTGCCACAGTTAACTTCTTCACATTTATGCACTGGGCCGCCTTAACAAAATTTGCAATGCTGCGGTAACCATACCCCAACTGGCCAGCAAATCTTCCTGTTGCGTCCGGAGTGTACTGACGAGTTTGGAGATATAACAGGAGAAAATTTCATGGTGAGTGGGAAGATACGAAGCGAGGATGTGCGTGTGGCACACCAACAACAGTTGTGTGTATTTCAGGTAAACAAGATAAAGCGTTAGATTAACATACCTTCATGTACAGTGGGTTGAGTGTAGCAAAGCCAGCTGCATCAGTTGACATGGTGAATCCTCTATGAGCCTGATCCACTCGCACCTCACCCTGTCACCATGCACACATACATCGATGAGACATGCATACGGGCATACATGCGTACATGCATGCATGGATATGCAGGATGGCAGCCACACATAAAGAAACATGCATCTATGTGGTGATGAAATCACCTGCCATGGCATTGAGCAGTGCATATTCCACACATGAACGCTCACGCCATATCTGGTAGCCCATGTAGTGAAAGTACTGCTGTGCGTGCCTGGCAGTTACAAGGGATGCAATCTACAGTATTCTAGAATCTAGACACAACCCATCCGAACCGAATGCCTTTGCCACTCACTCCTGCCATACCTGGTGGCCCATGTGGTGAAAGTACTGCTGTGTGTGGCAGTCAGAACGGGTGGGAATCTTATTTACTGTTCCATACATAATACTTTTTTAACTGAATGCACATCCTGCCATACCTGGTGGCCCATGTAGTGAAAGTACTGCTGCGTGTGGCAGTCAGAAGGAGGGGCAATCCAGCTTGCAGTGTACACTGCGGTGCCACATGAGCTGCCCTCGTTCTCCCACTGAACCTGCTTGTAGCGAGTACAACAAATAGTGCACGAGCCAGAGTTTGGTGCAAACGCGCATTCTCACGCGTTAGAGGTAATTGCTACAAAGAAACAAATATTAGCTCGAGAAGGGCACACAGACGGGCACACGGGATTCACCAGCGACACCGAGGCAACCCACAGACACACCGCAGCAGACTGGGAAGAAAGGCCAACCCACAGGCAAAGAGAGAGTCAAATGAATCCCAGAAAGAAAAGCTTAGCCCAGCTGCACACCATGAGGGTGAGTGATTGCAGCCCAGCTCCGTCTCTACCAACCCAGCAGCCTCTCTTCATGTGCGATTAGTCGAATTTTGATCCAACTACACGCGTGCAGCTCACTGAGAAATGTCAGTCCATTTCTACCAGCCCAGCAGCCTCTCCCCTTGCTCCCTCGCCTTCCACCGCATGGGCTCACAGACGCGATAGGAAAGAAAGGCATGGAGGAAAGGGGTTAGCCCCCAGCGGCTCACCATGAGGTGATTGCATCCTCCACATCCACCCACCCCAGCTGCACCTCCCCTTGCTCCCTCGCCTTCCACCGCATGGGCTCACAGACGCGATAGGAAAGAAAGGCATGGAGGAAAGGGGTTAGCCCCCAGCGGCTCACCATGAGGTGATTGCATCCTCCACATCCACCCACCCCAGCTGCACCTCCCCTTGCTCCCTCGCCTTCCACCGCATGGCCTCACAGACGCGATAGGAAAGAAAGGCATGGAGGAAAGGGGTTAGCCCCCAGCGGCTCACCATGAGGGTGATTGCATCCTCCACATCCACCCACCCCAGCGGCTCACCATGAGGGTGATTGCATCCTCCACATCCACCCACCCCAGCGGCTCACCATGAGGGTGATTGCATCCTCCACATCCACCGCCCCAGCGGCTCACCATGAGGGTGATTGCATCCTCCACATCCACCGCCCCAGCAGCTGCATCTCCCCGTGCCTCGTGCAGCACTTGGGTGGCCTTCCCCCTCGCTGCACTCGCCACCACCACCACTGGCCGCGACTGCCCCTGCACTGCCCACGCGTGGAAATCTGCAGGCGGGATAGAAGGGTAGAGGGGACGAAGGGGCAAGGGGGTGAAGGGTTCAGGGGTTGAGAGGGAGAATGGGAGTCTGTCTTTTTAGAATTCTCAGGAAACGGATGAGAGTGGAATCCCTGTGTCCCGAGGCCTGGAGGAAGGGAAGAGAACAGAGGGAGGAACAAGGTGCAGGGCAGGGCATGGGTGGCTTGGAGGTTGGTTTGGGCTGCATTGGATTCTCGGTGCAATGCATTGAAAAACGTGTACCTGGTATGTGAAGTGTAACTCCCGTTACACAGGCTACACCTTATCGATGTGGTGCGAGCTGAGGTAAAACGAGATGTCTGAGCTCCCGTCAGAGCTGAGCTGATTTTGAGAGTTTGTGCTGCATTGCATAAAAGCGACTCAGATTGTATGGTGTGCAAAGAATACGCATCTTCTGGTGTGCAACCTAAATCACCCACCTATGTGGTGCGAGTTGAGGTAGAAGGAGATGTCTGAACTCTTGCCAGCCCAGCCTGCATACAGTGGGAAAGGGGAAATGGGATGGGGAAGAAGCGAAAGGAATGACAGACAGAACGTAAAGGTAACTAATAATCAAGGGCAGCTGCAAATGCAATGACATCTGTTTCTTTCTCAGTCGCGTTCTTTAGTGTCTCATGACACACCTGCAAACGTGTGCAGTGCAGCTGCATCTTAGGCTGGGTCATGGTGCTGGAGCTGAAGGCGAAGGGCCCTTCTATGGTGACTCAAAGGGCACATTCGCATCGCTCAGGTGTGCACAGTGTGTGCAAATGCTACTCATATAAAAACACAACATACCTGCAAACGTGTGCGGTGCAGCTGCATCTTAGGCTGGGTCACGGTGCTGGAGCTGAAGGCGAAGGGCCCTCCTACGGTGACTCAAAGGGCACATTCGCACCGCTCAGGTGGGCACAGCGTGTGCAAATGCTACTCATATAAAAACACAACGCACTTGCAAACGTGTGCAGTGCAGCTGCATCTTAGGCTGGGTCATGGTACTGGAGCTGAAGGCGAAGGGCCCTCCTACGGTGACTCAAAGGGCACATTTGCATCGCTCAGGTGGGCACAGCGTGTGCAAATGCTACTCATATAAAAACACAACGCACCTGCAAACGTGTGCAGCTGCTTCTTTGGCTGAGTCATGGTGCTGACGAAGAAGGCAAAAGGACCCAGACCCCTGATGCGGTCGCGCGCATCTGCGACAGGGCAACATGGAAACACAAAGACCTGTGGCTCGATTTAAGAGAAGAAGGTAAAGGGCATGGAACGGAGCGTCCTGATGGGACCGCGAGCGTCTGAAACATGGGAATCTGGGAAAAGTCGTGTTGAAAATAAAATGAAGGGTAAGGGCGTATCCAGGTTCGGGTCATGAGCACTGTTCCGGGCATGCGCGATTTGCGGATGACCCAAACAACATAGAACGCATGTTTGGGTCATGCGACCCCCATATTGCCGCGAGGGTTTTCGCGCCAAAATCCAGCTCACAACAACAGTCGCATCCAATGGAGGGATGCCAGAACATTTCGAAAGGTCATTAGCGATACCCACGCAAAACCACGTGACACACCCTGAGAAAACACAACCCCCAAAATTCCCGGAGCGAATTCCCAAATGTTGGGAGCGCAACGCGAGAAATTTTAGACACACTCGGGGTCAATTTGCCGAGTGGTTGGGTGCAGAGGTTGTTAGAGGGCCCTACAACAGCAAGGGCCCTCGATCACCTTTGACTTGGCAGGTCGACGCCTAACGACTGAGTCTACTCGGCACCGATGAATGAGTTCAGTGAAGGTCGGGTGTGACTACGTGTGACTATGTGCAACTGCGCAGGACTTCGCATGAAGAAGCGAGAGTCCGTGGGAGTCGTTGGTGCTTCCTTGAGAGTCGCACCACTCCTTGCTGTGTTGGTGGAGTGGTGTGCACGGAAGCGAGAAGTCGATGCTGAGTTGGGTTGGGAAATTGGCGAGGCGCGTTCGCTCACCCACACACCACTTTCGTGGGGTTGGGTTACTCGCAGCGCCCACGCAACCTCTTGTGAAACCCTCGCCTGCCTATATATGTTTGTGTTGCTTGTGTGTTTGATATATATTTTCTATGTTCCTAGTGAAGTCCAAATGCTACTTCAATTCTCACCAAGTTCTTAGAGGCAAACGCTACCGAAACTCTACCAAGTTGCTGGCGCAACATCATTCCCATAGCAGAAACTCTCTCGTTATCGCTACGCTCTCCAATTGATTCCTTCATGGTGCGGTGAGCGTGGAACGAACACGCTTAGATTTCCGTCGTCGTTGATATTCGCGTTCGTATACTCGCCTTGGCGTGCGGCGTTAGTGAAGGGCGCTTATTAATCTAAGCTGAACCTCTCTTGATTTCCCTCCAGTTACGTTCTCGACCCAAGGATAGGGAGTTTTGTAATTTATTACCACTCGTCTAAGGACCCTTGTGAGGGGACCCCGAGACGAGGGATTTAAGGAAGGGGCACTTTATTTTAATTTGTGGTACCTTATAGAGACGTCGTAGAGGATGAGTACTGAGGAGGCGAACGTGGAGGCCGGTAATTTGCACGCTCTAGAGGAGGATCTCGTGGCCCGTCATTCTCGTCGTGAGATTAGTGATATCGTATACGAGCTAATGTTGGAGGGATTGCGCTCGCGTCGGCGTCGTGAGCACCCTTCGCCACGTGTAGAGAATGTTGAGCAAATTGCGGGAGGTACTAGTGCGTGGGATATGGCTGTCGATGGCAGAAATAGCGATGACGAGGAGTTTGATGGGTTGATGTCGCATGGGGTCCTGCGAAGACCAACTCGGTTTAGTACGGCTAGCGTCGGCGGTGTACAGGAGCGTGTTCATCATGCAGCAGCGTCACGAGAGCATGCGAATGTAAGACGGCGAAGCGTTGCTGGGGGAGGAATTGCGGAGGAGTTCGATAGTGAGACTATGCCGGGCGTTATCCCGATTGGATCGATGTCGAGGGACGAGGGAATAGCCCCCAACTATGGCTACTTCAGGTTCACTCCAGACAAGATCGTTGTCACTAGTCCGTTAGAAGGACGTCACGACCTGTCGACGTGGACAGAATCAATCGAGCCGCAGCTTGAGATCGCTCAGCTAAAGCGATTCATAGATGACACCACCCCTATTCCACCATCGCGTGCGCTTGCGCATCTCTCTCAGTTCCGCGCGATGCAGTTGCTAACATTCACCACCATTTCCCAATGTTGCTCCCCAACCGTACAGATCGCCCTTAAGGCGTGTCGCATGAAGGTTGATGCCTGCTATCAGGCATGGCAGTTTATTATGCGCACGTACATGGCAAAGGACGATCTGTACATCGGTCAGTTAGAGCAGGCGCTCACTAACCTCGAGATGGGAGAGCACGAGTCCGCTACGTCCTATTGCAACCGTGCGCAGCAGATCCTAGTGAACCTGAGGATGGCCGGCGTAGATTACTCGCAAGCGTCCTACATCACTCACGTTGTGAAGGGGTTGCCGCAGTAGTTTAACCTCTTACGCAGGATGCTGAAGTTGCCGCAGGTGCGCAAGGAGTTGGACGAGAACACCCTCGCTAGCTACATCATCGAGGAGGAATGTACGCTGGCGTCAGAGGGACGAAAAGACCAATTCCTTCCCCAGGCTAACCAGCTCTTTACCAAGAAGGGTAAGCCCCAATTCCAGCAGAATTCGTTCCCTTCCCCTCCCACTACGGCACAGCAGCAGCAGCCTAAGAATGGGGGTGGGCTTGGTGGGGGAGGGGAGAAGTGGAAAGGGGGTAAGGATGGCCAGCCGAAGGGGGGGAAAGGGGGTTTCAAAGGGAAGTGCTATGTGTGTGGACAAATAGGGCATGTTGCTAAGTACTGTCAGCAGCGGGCGGATAAGGAGGCAGACACCGGTGGAGAGGGCACTGGAGGTAGCAGCGGAAAGGGGGGTGATGGCTCTAAGGGGAGCGGGCAATCATCATGTGCGATGGTGAAGCTCGTAGTGGAGCAGACTCCTCTCGTTGTGCTAGAGCCTGAGGGCGGGGAGGGCTTACAGGCTGTTGCAGCTGCTGTGAAGGCGAACCCGAGCGTCGTGCTGCTTGATAGCGGATGCTCCCACCATCTCATGGGAGATCGTTCTGCCTTTGTGGAGATGAGCAGCGGCGGCATTATTAAACAGGTTACTGGCTTCAACGGCGCGCTTCAGGAGGTGCAGGGGCGGGGCATAGTCGCTCTTCTTGGAGAGGGGGGCAGGCGTGTCTTGGTGCCGGACGTGCTGTACGTACCAGGAGTGCAGGCGAGTCTTCTCTCTGCTGGGCAGCTGCGTGAATGTGGTGTGCAGCTGCTGGATGCCGGGGATGTGACTTTGCTGCGGGCACCAGATGGATCGCTCCTTGGTCGTGCGGAGTTCAAGGGGCGTGTTCTCTGCACGAACTTCCAGCCGTGTTCGACGCAGCAGCAGGAAGGCGAAACGGTGGCACTTCGTACCTTGGCGACGGGCGTGCGGTCTAAGGGGGACCTGTGGCATGCGCGTATGGCACACGTTGGTATTGATGCCATCGAGCGCACAGCGGCTCACGGGTCAGTGAAGGGCTTGGATTTGGAGAAGGGGGGCAAGTCAGGCATACCTTGTGTTTCCTGTGTTGGGGGAAAGATCACTCGTCAAACCTTTCCTTCTGTGGGAGAGGAGGAGGATGAGTTGCTCGGGGTGGTGCATGCTGACCTGTGTGGCCCTTTCCGTGAAGTAGCTAAGGACGGCAGCCGCTACTTCTTGGTGCTGAAGGATCGCAAGACGCGATATTTCTGGGTCTACCCTTTGGCCCAGAAGAGTGATGCGCTGGCGGCGTTCCAGAAGTGGCTCTCGATGGCAGAGCGACAGTGCAAGACCACGGTGCAGGCGCTGCGCACTGATCGGGGTGGCGAGTTCCTGGGGCACGACTTCACGCTCTTCCTCGACGGTAAAGGCATCATCCATGACCTCACATGCCCGTATACGCCAGAGCAGAACGGGATGGCCGAGAGGGAGATCCGCAGCATTGTGGAGGCGGTGCGGACGATGTTGCTGCACATGGGTGTGCAGCATCACTGGTGGCACCTGGCGTTGGCTCAGGCCGTCTGGGTGCGCAACCGCGTGGAGCACGCCTCACTACCCTCTGGTGTGACGCCGTACGAGCTCGCCTTCCGACGCAAACCTGATGTCAGTATGGTGCGTGTTTGGGGCTGCATGCTGCAGTACATGGTACCACGGTCGCAGCGTGGGGGGAAGCTGGCGCCTAAGGCTCGCTGAGGGTTGCACTTGGGTGTGTCAGCTGCGAGCAAAGGCTGGACCGTGCTGGACTTGGAGTCCAACCGCCTCATCACCACTGTGGAAGCTGTGTTTTATGAGACCATGTCCCTAGCAGGATGGAAGGCTTGGCATCAGCATGAGCATGGGGGGTGTTCGATGCCCTATGAGCCCCTTCCCTCACTCTTCCCGATCACTCTCGAGGAGGCGGAGGAGGAGGAGGAGGTGGTCGCACCTCCTGCTATGCCCTATGTCCCTACCTCAGTCCCCACCCCTCCTCCGCCTTCAGTCTACCCGCCTTCTTCCTCCTCACCCCCCTTGGCTTCCCCTAGTCCTCCTGATTTCCATCTCCCCTTCCACCCTCCATCCCTCCTGCACCTGCTCCGCCCTCCTCTTCGTCTTCCATGGCGCCGCCCGTTGGTGGGGGGGGGATGGAGGTGCCACAGTCTGTGGAGATCACCGACGGGCAGCGCCTTGAGACTGAGCAGCTGCAGGACGAGAGCAGTATGGATGGAGTACAGCAGACAAGGGAGCAGCAGATTGGGGAGCAGCAGATAGGGGAGCAGCAGAGTGGGGAGCAGCAGATAGGGGAGGAGCGGATTGAGGAGCAGCAGATGGTGGACCAGCAGCTAGGGGAGCAGCAGACAGGGGAACCGCAGACAGAGGAGCAGGAGATGTGGGGAATTAGAGATGGTGGTCGTGTGTTGGTTTCTGGGACGACCACTGCACCAGTGCGTCGCTCCACTCGCATCACTCGTGGTGTCCCGCCTGTTCGATACGCTTGGGCTGTAGTGGTTGAGCCAGCGGGCTTGGATGACGAGGAGGAGGACGAGGAGTGGACTGACCTGGACCCGGACGTTGCAGCTGATCCTGAGAGGCAGTGGGACATAGCGAAAATGACAGTGAAGGAGGCCTTGGGCTGCTGGAAGGGCGACAAGGTGAAAGAGGCGATGGATGAAGAGATGCGGAGCTTGATTGAGCAGGGGACGTGGGAGTTGGTTCCGCGTCCGCCAAGGGTGAATGTGATGAAGAACCGCTGGATTTTGAACACCAAGTTCCGACCTGATAGGATAGTGGAGCGTGAGAAGGCGAGGCTGGTGGTGAAGGGGTTCACGCAGGTGGCAGGGGTGGACTATGAGGAGACGTACGCCCCGGTGAGAAGCTATGTGACGGCGCGTGTGCTTCTGGCGATTGCAGCTGCACTTGATTTGGACCTGATGCAGCTCGATGTAAAGAACGCGTTCCTCCATGGCGTGCTGGACCGAGACCTTTATATGGAGCAGCCGAGCTACTACGAGGATGGGACTCCTCGTGTCTGTAAGTTGGTGAAAAGTCTGTATGGGCTCAAGCAGAGCCCGATGCTATGGTATGAGGCCTTGGATGGGGTGCTGCTTGGGGCTGGATGGAAGAAGAGCAAGGTGGATGAGGCTCTGTACTTCAAAACTGATGCTGATGGGGAGATGTGCTGGCTGCTGATGTATGTGGATGACCTGCTTGCTGCCAGCCGCAGTCAGAGCATGCTTGGGGAGCTGCGTGAGCTGCTGCAGAGTGTGTTTCAGCTGCGGGAGATTAGCCCTGTGGAGAAGTATCTGGGGTTGCAGCTGATTCGCGACAGGCCTACGAGGAGGCTGTGGCTGCACCAGGGGGCCTATGTGGACAAGGTTCATAGGCGCTTCTTTGACGGGGAGCAGCCGCTGCGAGTGCCTCGCACCCCTCTTTCCTCTGACCCTTTCAGTGTGCAGACCTTTGAGGATGTGGGATGGCAGTCTCGCCAGGAGGAGGAGTACAGGCAGAAGGTGGGATCCTTGCAGTTCGCGGCCTGTACCACCCGTCCCGACATCTCGTTCGCCTGCAGCAAGCTGGGGTCGGGCTAGACTGTGCGGAGTGATCAGCACTGGAAGGAGTTGGACCGGTGCTTGACGTACTTGGTGGGGAGCAGGGATGTGGCGCTGGAGTTTGGTGGTGGGCCGGAGTCCTTGGAGCTGGTGGGCTACGCCGATGCTGATGATGCAGGGGACAAGCAGAACAGGACCAGCACAGGTGGCTATGTCTTCGTGCTCGGGGGTGCTGCTGTCTCATGGGCAAGCCAGACGATTCGTTGCGCCACCCTCTCCTCCACTGAGTCTGAGTATGTTGCTGCTGTGGAGGCTGGGAAGGAGGCGCGCAGGCTGCGCTTCCTGCTGGCAGAGTTTCAACTGCTGAGGAGTTGAGGAACCCACTACTCTCTTTGTGGACAACTCCTCCGCCATTTCAGTGGCAGGTGGCATGGGGCTCAAGGGGAGCCTCAAGCACATGGAGCGTCGCCACATGTGGCTGCAGCACATGGTCAAGCGCAGGAAGCTGCAGTTGCAGTACATCCCTACGAGCGAGCAGCCTGCTGACTACCTCACGAAGGCATTGCATTTCCCCGCCTTCAGTCGTTGCTTCGAGGCTGTGGGGCAGGTGAGGCTTTCGAGTGAGGGGGGTGAGACCTAAACACTCCATGATGTGGATGGTGCCATGGCCTATCCATGGCTGGTGCGGTGCGTGTTTGCACTTTGAGAGAGCTTCGTTTGTGTGTTTTTCCCTTTGTTTTGGCGTGTACGTGTGTATGCATGCCCTGTGATTATAAAGGGCCTTGCTGTAGTATGGCAGGGGAGTGTTAGAGGGCCCTACAACAGCAAGGGCCCTCGATCACCTTTGACTTGGCAGGTCGACGCCTAACGACTGAGTCTACTCGGCACCGATGAATGAGTTCAGTGAAGGTCGGGTGTGACTACGTGTGACTATGTGCAACTGCGCAGGACTTCGCATGAAGAAGCGAGAGTCCGTGGGAGTCGTTGGTGCTTCCTTGAGAGTCGCACCACTCCTTGCTGTGTTGGTGGAGTGGTGTGCACGGAAGCGAGAAGTCGATGCTGAGTTGGGTTGGGAAATTGGCGAGGCGCGTTCGCTCACCCACACACCACTTTCGTGGGGTTGGGTTACTCGCAGCGCCCACGCAACCTCTTGTGAAACCCTCGCCTGCCTATATATGTTTGTGTTGCTTGTGTGTTTGATATATATTTTCTATGTTCCTAGTGAAGTCCAAATGCTACTTCAATTCTCACCAAGTTCTTAGAGGCAAACGCTACCGAAACTCTACCAAGTTGCTGGCGCAACATCATTCCCATAGCAGAAACTCTCTCGTTATCGCTACGCTCTCCAATTTCCTTCAGAGGTGTCAGACGTGGGAAATTGCCCACGTGTGAAACTCGACTGCTGATCGACAAAAAGTTGGCAGTAACACCACAATCGTGCAACCAGGTGATTGGCTGTGGGTGGGTCGTGCATGTAAGTCGCACAACACCTATACATTGACCCAAAGTTGGGGCCGCGCGCGGCTCGGCAGCCCACTTCGGGTCATGCGCAAATTCCGCATGACCCAAACAGTAGCCAGAACAGTGCTCATGACCCGAACCTGGATACGCCCTAAGACGGAGAAACACAACAAACGGAAGGCGTGTACACCAGCACGGGAGCTCCAGCACGGGAGCTCCAGCTTGGACTGGAGCTCTGGACTGGAGCTCTGGACTGCATGGGACTGGACTGCACGGAAGCACCAGCACGTGAGCATGAGCACGTGAGCATGAGCACATGAGCACAAATCGGACGGCGTGTATGTTTTACCAGAACTACACGTCTCAAAACTACACACTTAACACGTCACAAACCGGACGGCGTGTACCTGTGTAAATGGGGTCAAACCGCTTGTGAAACTCAACGGCCACCAGCACACCCTTTTCTCTGCGTGCAACGCACACCAAGCAATGCAGACCATGCGATATATGGCAATACGGTGGGAGGTGGAGCACGAAGGAACGGAAGCAATGGGGCAGAGAGGGGAAGGAAAGGGCTATTCTTGATGGGCTCAGAATATTGAAAGATATAGCAAACAAGGAGTGGAAATGGAAGAAAGGGGTACTGTGGAGGATGGCCTGTGGGCACAGTGAGGCACCTGCCTGCGCGGTTATCGCGAGCTTTTCGAGAATTCTAAAAACTGTGGAGGAGGACCTATGAGCACGGGGAGGCAGCTTCCTGAGCGTTTATCGCGAGCCTTTAAAGAATTCTAAAAAATCGCTTACTGTGGAGGAGGACCTATGAGCATGGGGAGGCAGCTCCCTGGGCGGTTAGCGCAAGGTGGTGACGACAATGACTGTTCAGTTGTGTCAACAGCTACTCTGCAACAGCTTGTCACCACCCGTGCTTTTGAGGGGAATCAACAGCTTGCCGACAGAAGCTTACTCTGCTGCTTGCACGAGGTGGTGGTGGTGTTGGAGGGTCTTCACTGCTGGCTTCGCTACAAGCACATGCAGCCCTGCATGTGAGAGAGGGGCGGGAAGGGAAGGCAGTAGGATGGTATGGGGCGCGAGATACAAACACCAGAGACGGGAAGAGATGCAAAACGGAGCCCAGATCAAACAAAGAGGACAGAAGCAATGCTCAGTGTTATCACAGAGTTAAACCTGAAAATGGAGGAAACGGGTTGTGAGGCTACCGTGTTGAATTGCCGTGAGGGCGATGGGGTGAAGATGGTGACCATGTCTCCTGGCTGCATGCACGCCATATTTGCGAGTTCCAACCCCAAAGATGGTGTGCTGCCTCGTCCTTTGAAGCTAGTGCCAACCGTGCTGGATAGCTTGTGAGTTCGGCCTTGTGCGAGATACTACCAACCGTGTTGAATGGGCGGCGAGGGCAATGGGTTGGTGTGTGTTGTCTGGAGTGAAGATGGCTACCATGTCTCCCGCCTCACTGACTCTACCTCCCACCGTGTTCCCCTTTGTGGGATTCACTACCCACCGTGCTGGATGGCCGCAAGGGCGATGGGGTGGTGCGTGCTGTCTGGAGTGAAGACGGGTGACCATGTCTCCCGCCTCACTGTGTCTAGACTCTCTACCTCCCAGCTGACATGAATGCACCCAGCTGACACGTGTGGCAGTGAGGTGAGTTCAGCCTTGTGAAATCTACCACATGACCCACCATGCTGAATGGCGGCAAGGGCGATGGGGTAGTGCGTGTTGTCTGGAGTGAAGACGGTGACCATGTCTCCCGGCGGCATGAGCGGCGCACGCCATGGCTTCTAGGTATGCTGCCTTGTCCTTGATTCACACGTGTGAGGTTCACTACCCACCGTGTTGAATAGCTGCGAGGGCGATGGGGTAGTGCGTGTTGTCTGGAGTGAAGATGGTGACCATGTCTCCTGGATGCATGCGCGCCATTGCTGCTAGGTATGCTGCCTCATCCTCCTGCACATCGTCTGACCCGTACACATGCACGCACAGACACGCACATGGATGCATACACACATTGCACACACACACACACACACACATTTCACACACACACAAATGCACACACACCCACCCACACCCACCCACACACACACACACACACACACACACACACACATGCACACAGACGCATGGACAGGCAGAGGTGGCTACCTCAGGGGGCTGTCATCCCTCATCCATGTCTCGATACACGTCTGCAATCTTTCTTTGCAGTGGCTCTCTAATGAAGGGGAAGATCTAATGAGTGATCATCTTCAACTCTTGAGGACTCTCAACTCAAGAATCATACCTGGAGGGTAACGCTCGAGAGTCACGTCCATGACTCGATACACGTCTGCAATCTTCCTCTGCAGCGTCTCTCTGATGGTGAGGCGGGGTAGATCTGATGACAGGGAAATCTCCTTTTGAAGCACCTCAAGAATCATGCCTACCTGGAGGATAAGTCTCGAGAGTCACATCCATGACCCGGTACACGTCTGCAATCTTCCTCTGCAGCGTCTCTCTGATGGCGGGGAAGATCTGATGGCTGGGAAGATCTGATGGCTGGGACAATCTGAAGGCTGGGAAGGCCTTATGACTCAAAAGCCATACCTGGAGGATAAGTCTCGAGAGTCACATCCATGTCTCGGTACACGTCTGCAATCTTCCTCTGCAGCGTCTCCCTTATCGCGGGGAAGTGCCGCCCGGAGCGGTCACACAGCAGCAGCCGCTGCACTTTACCCAGACGGCGGAGGTCCATCAATGTGATGGCGATGACTCTGCAGGGTTGAGGTGACGGGGGGATATGGGATAGGATTGTGATGGTGGGCGCTGCATAGTGTTTTGGGGGGATGTGGGTAAGGATTTGGGGGAACGGGATGAACATGCCACACACACAGGAGTCAGTCAGGACCAAACCGGCACCTACCCCAGATGCCTTGCTCCTGCAGGTTGCTTTTGAGAATTATCAAAAACAACATGCCACACAGGAGTCAGGACCAACCCGGCACCTACCCCGGACGCCTTGCAACAGGAACCCCTCCATGCAAGAGCACCTTTTCAAGGCCCGTCTTCCAGTCTGCCCCGCCATTCACCTCAGCGCCATGCTTTTACTTCACAACCGGACCTTTACCTCATCCGCTTACCCTCACCTCAGTGCCACACAGCCTGCACGGACCTTCCCAGCACAGACTTGTCACTCGCAGCTCCCTCCTTGGTCGGTACAAACCCTGAAACTTTTGAGTCGACAGTCACCTTGACCTCACCCCCACCCCATCCCCTCGCCTCAACCCCACACTGCCAGCGTGGCCCTTCCCTGCACATACCCTACAGACTTGTCGCTCGCAGCTCCCTCCTTGGTCGGTACAAACCCTGACGAAGCAACCAACAGCAGGAATGAAGTCAGATATGATCTCGTTGGTGAAAATCGGCAGAAGAGTTTACATATTCCCTCACCTACGGTGTACTCGCCAGCGCCTATCATAAGCACACCGATTGGCTGCTCCATTTTCTTGAATTTTTGTAATCAGTGACGAGGAATTCCGTAATGGGGAACTTTCCCCAAGAAGAAAGAGGAGAAGTTGACCCGACACGATTAGCGCAGGGTGTGGGATTTCGTCAACGCATGCAATGTCAGTACATATTTGATTCCGCGTGATGCATATGTGCAATGATAAGCACCGATGTGCTGCTGATAAGCGCCTGATGGTAGAGCATCAATCTGTCGCTCGGGACAAGACACACCGCAGAAGTTGTCCCACACTGCCTGATTCCCTGCTGTGCCTTAAAACAAGTTTCGTGGAACACTAGTTACCAACGTGACTCAAACCTTATTATCTGCTTGCTAATCGCGAGCCGCATTGTGTTGCGGACGTGTGGCTCGTCACACCAACATCTCAATGTCGAGAATCAAAGGATTGGGATGCCAGGCAGGCAGTGGGATAAGGCAGGCAGTCCTCCCAACATTCCGTGGGACTATGTTGGGGTACGCAGATGTGACTGGGGGGGGGGGGGGGGGGGGGGGGGGGGGAGGGGGGGGGGGGTGGTTGGGTGGGGGTGAAATGGGGTGCGGGATGGGGTGTGTCCTGACTGGGTGTTTTGATGGGGCTTTTTATGGGTGTCGCGTTTGGGATTTTTAGGCAGTTTTCCACGTCCTCCCTTTCATTCTCCACCTCCCTTCTCCTTCATTTAAGTCTCTCTTTTTCTTTCTCCTTTTTCTGCCTCGGATCATGTGAAAGAATAAACATTAAACATTTGATTGTTAAAAAAAAAAATGGAAGGGACTATGTTGGGCTTTCCTGTTCCATTTCTAGAAATGTGATGCATTTCTAGAAAGGTATGCAATTTCACACGTTGTTGCCAAAATGCATCACCATCCTAGACGGCTCTCTCGGCACTAATGAGCCTTGGTCTTTCCCTTGATTTTTCCTCTTCTCCCTCCACGGACAACCCCCTTGTCATTCTCCTTCCCAACTTTCGGCTCCACTTGCATTTCAACTTTCATCTTGGCCTTCCCAACAGGAATCCAGGCCAGGGAGCAGAAGAATGCGAGCAGAAAGAGCACCGAAAACCTGACCTCGATTCCATCCCAGGACGATCGCATTGCATAGAACGCCAACACCGATAATCCCACTGTTCCCCCAGCAGAAGGACCTAAAATGGCCATAAACCCCCCAGCAACCACCAGGAAGCTTCCGCCGATCATATCAATGTCCTGGTCCTTGAAATCCTCCCAGGATGTGGGAAAGGAGTGCGCATATGGATCCTTCGAGATGACCGGATCCAACGGCTGTAAAATGCTGTTCCATTCAGGTAACTTGAAGGGCTGTCTGGAAACGGTTTTCTGGAGGATTTGAGCGAGAATTCCCGGGTAGAGCAGGCAACGGAGCAGCGTGGAAGGCGCTCGACCGTAAGCGTGAAGCTCCGTGACGACTATGTCGAGCGGGGACTTGCAGCGAATCCCGGAGCATGGCAGACTGCGAGGAGTGAGCGGATTAGAAGAAAAGCAGGATAAGTCTTCATGGCGGAAAGAGATTCAAGCATATTTGAGAGAATCTGCCAGAAATTTGCCCAACTCAACTCGAAAAACGGCGCTCGAAAGAGGATCAGGAGGAAGAACATATGGCTTAGCCGCGTTGGCCATGACCATTTAGTAGGTTTCTGTTGGTCCATCTTGAGCAGGAAAGATGCAAGCCGAGACAAGGAACATGTGATTGCCAACTCTTTCTTAGCAAGACAGCTGTGTGAGATAACGAACCACCTCACCTGACCTGATGGAATTTGCGTACAAAAACATGTCACGCTTCTAATATTTTCGACAAGCAACATCAGGCTTTAGTAGGGTCGCTTATATCAGATATAATTTGTGAATGTTGCCGCGAAGCGATAACAGCAAATTAACATCCACCAGCTGGTCACCCCTTTCACACACGAAAGGTACCCTGACATGCCATCTCACCCGTCTTTGCTGACTCAGCTTGGGCGTGCGTGGCGAAAAGGAGAAAATGCTGACCTCGATCTCGGCTGCTCCATCAATCACCGCTCGATGTCACGCGCCCTCCTGTCACCCGCTCGTGCGATCGCACAATCCAACTCGCATCACGCGCGAACCGCCAGCCCGATACGTCAGACAACCCACCAAAGGCGGAGATTCGACTGCCAGCAACCCCTTCCTTTCCCCCAGCGCAAGACTCTCCCCTCCCCCCCGCCAAAGCTGGATCCGCCAGCGCCATAGATGGAACCCAGTCTGGCGGGACAATCCTCCATCTGTACCATGATTGGGCACCATAAGATTTCCACGTCACCTCTCTGGGGAACATCACAAAAGATATCAGTGCCTTCCTCATGGGATCATCCCCCTCGCAACGCAAACTGGACTCGTTTCTCCGCCCTCCCCCCACCCCTTCCCACACCGCACTCTCCCTCTGCTCCCCCTGATCCCCCCTGATTCGTGGGAAAAACAAATGCCTTTCCCTTATCTGGTCTGATCCATCAGCTCAGCTTCACTCCCTGATCAGCTGATTTCTAGGATTGACTAGCTTTATCCCTTTCTCATTTTCGGCCTGGTCTAAATAGATCAGGGACATTGAGGCTCTTATTTCTGCCGGTTTGAGATTGAGAAAAATACTTGTGAACACACACACGTAGCAGCTATGGCTTCCACAACCGCCTGTGTGTCCAGGGTGAATGTGTTCAACCCTTTGATTCAGGGAAACTCCCTCAGGTCAAGATGTACAAGCACTGGTGCGTTTGGCTCAATGTCATACGCATTGCTTTCTAAAGTGGTCGCTTAACTGCTCGCTTATATTTGTACAACAGCCTTTATTAGTATTTCTCCCTGGCTTGTAACAACCGCCCGTGCTTCTCTCTCGCTTTATCGCAGTGCGCCTGGCTGCTCCAGTTTATAGGCCAGCTCTCCGAGCTGCTCCCGTCGCTCCTCGTTGCAGCTTCGAGGACTCGTCTTCTTCGGCATCATCCAAGCTCATTAAACAAAGCACCTCTTCCATGTAACTACTCAACCTTACCACTAAACGATCATCACCCAACTTCACGGCTGACTGAACACCTCGTGAAACATTGCCTTGAACATATCGCATTTTCAGTTATTCGGTCATTCTCATGCAGGAAAGGAACAATGTAGTAAGAACATGGTTATTTTTGGATCGCTCACAGATGCACCTCGTTTTTCTGTCCGTCCCTGCAGTGTTGCTCAAGCTGCTGAGGGAGCGGCCCCTGCTCCTGCCGCGGGCCCAACCCCCCTTAAGAAGTTCATCGAGACCCTCACCACCCTCTTCCCACTCTGGGTGAGCAGCTACCTTTTTCGTCATTCTTTTGCGTTTCATTTCTGAATATTTTTTTCTAATTCTCTCTAACTCTTACATACTCGTTTCGCTTCACTGTGACTGTCCTTTTCTCCATCCAGGTCATTCTTGGAACCTGCATCGGTCTCGTTAAGCCTTCGGCTGTAAGCCTTCTCACCCTACGTCACCCCTCTGGTCCTCGTCCACTTTTCCTAGCCATGACAATTTCTTCAGAGACAAATTTGATTTTCGGTAACATTTGTGCACTCGTTTTGTTCTGCTTTCAGGTGACATGGCTCCAAACCGACCTCTTCACATACGCTCTCGGTTTCCTCATGCTTTCCATGGGTCTCACCCTCACCTTCGAGGACTTCCGCCGCTGTCTCCGCAACCCCTGGACGGTAAGCATTTTGTCCTCACCTGTGACCGCCCAAATTCGTCAGTGACTGATCATGCGATGTTTGATACACAAAACGTTGGTCTAAGTTGCACAATCCATTTCTCTTTGTTGAATACTTTCACAGGTCGGGGTCGGTTTCATCGCACAGTACTGCATCAAGCCGCTTCTTGGCTACGCCATTGCTCTGGTAAGGAGCTGAACCATAGAATGAGCTAAGAACTCTCACATTGACTCTTAAAAGCATCCGGTTTTGGCAGCTCCTATCCTTTTCGGCCTTTTATGCCTCTAATTACATTTCAATATTCCTTGCTCAAACTCGTCCCATGGCATTCTAATACGTTCCACTCGTTTCGCTTCCTGCCAATCTCGTTTGTGTTTCCAGGCTCTGAAGCTCCCCGCCCCTCTTGCCACCGGGCTCATCCTCGTGTCGTGCTGCCCCGGCGGTCAGGCGTCCAATGTCGCCACCTATATCTCTCGCGGCAACGTTGCCCTCTCCGTGCTCATGACCACGTCAGTCTCCGGCTGACCCCTAAACCCGCAGTCTTTTCCCGCCAGTCTCCATTATACATGCCCCCACATGCATCCATTCCCGTGGTTTCAAATGAGTGTATAACTGACAGCTTTTCGTTTCCCTCCTTCTGCCGCCTTGCCAGGGCGTCCACCATCGGCGCCATCTTCATGACGCCCTTCCTCACCAAGGTCCTTGCCGGCCAGCTGGTTCCCGTCGACGCCAAGGTACGCGTGATCTTTCATTGCCAGACAATCGCGTTTTTGTTTCCTCGTCAGAGGCATCCGTGTGCTCTTTTAAGGCCTGGCAGAGTGAACAATATGCTATGATTTTCTTTCTTGCAGGGTCTGGCCATCAGTACTTTCCAGGTCGTGCTTGTGCCCACCATTTGCGGAGGTGAGAATCCTGAAGTTCACCTACGCTTGCTTCTTGTAGCTTTTGTTACATCGAGTAGCCTCCTGACTGAATTTATTTTCCGCGTATCTGCCTCCCATGATGCAGTCCTCGCTAACGAGTTCTTCAACGATATCACTAAGAAGATCACCTTCTTCACGCCGCTTGTTGGCGTCGTTCTCACCACCCTGCTCTGCGCCTCCCCGGTACTCATCCTTTGCACTCTTTCTAATTCCTCTTTCGTCTTTCCTGTTCCTTGTCGAAACTGATCCAGTGGAAATAATATGTTTTCCATCTTTTTCCAGTTTAACCCATCTTCCCTCACCTTGACATCCCCACGACCGTGCACCATCCCCACGACCGTGCACCATCCCCACGACCGTGCACCATCCCCTCGACCGTGCACCATCCCCACGACCGTGCACCATCCCCACGACCGTGCACCATCCCCACGACCGTGCACCATCCCCTCGACCGTGCACCATCCCCTCGACCGTGCACCATCTCCTCGCCCGTTCATCATCCTCCCACCCTTGCCCCTCCCCTCCCCCTTGCATCACCCCTCCCCCTTGCATCACCCCTCCCCCTTGCATCACCCCTCCCCCCTGCATCACCCCTCCCACTTGCATCACCCCTCCCCCTCGCATCATCCCCTCACCCTTGCATCATCCCCTCGCCCTTGTATCGTCTTCTCACCCTTGCCTCACCCCTCCCCCTTGCATCACCCCTCCCCCTCGCATCATCCCCTCACCCTTGCATCATCCCCTCGCCCTTGTATCATCTTCTCACCCTTGCCTCACCCCTCCCCCTTGCATCATCCCCTCGCCCTTGAATCATCCCCTCGCCCTCGCATCATCATTGCTCTATTATCCCTATCCCTGCATCACACACTCACCCGTACAACCCCCCCCCCCCCCCCCCCCCTTTTCGTTGCCTACTGCAACAGATTGGTCAGGTGGCGGAGGTGCTCAAGGCCCAGGGCGCGCAGCTCATCCTCCCCGTCGCAGCTCTGCACGCCTTCGCATTTGCTCTCGGCTACTTCCTCTCGCGCGTCTTCAACTTCAGCGAGTCCACCTCCCGCACCATCTCCATTGAGTGCGGCATGCAGGTGAGAGTTGTTTGCTGATAATAGTGCGGCGTGCTGGTGAGATTGGCATGCTGGTGGGGTTGGGGTTACGGCAGGCATGCACGTGAAATTTAGTTAACTTGAAACAAAAAGTCCCACAGATAGGCTTGAGGCTTATGCTTGAGGCTTATGCTTGATTGGTTTGATAACTCACAGCCTCTGTGCAACTGAATGTCTTCAGTCTTCATAACATTTTCTCCCCCTACTCTTGCCTATCTGTTTTTCTGATTTTCTCCCTGAATGTCGTCTAAACTGCTTCAGAGCTCGGCTCTTGGTTTCCTTCTAGCTCAGAAGCATTTCTCCAACCCATTGGTCGCTGTGCCATCTGCTGTCAGCGTCGTCTTCATGGCTGTAAGTTGTTGGAGCTTTGGGAGCTGTAAAATGGCTTGTGTTGGCTTGTTCGTCATGAGTGTTTTTCCACTTGTGGTTGCCAGTGCTTGTTGCTGATGAATTTTCTCATGTTTGTGTCTCTTGGTGTTTGCAGCTGGGAGGAAGTGCTCTTGCTGTCTTCTGGAGGAACAACCCACTTCCCAAGGATGACAAGGATGACTTCAAGAAGTAACTTCATTTAGACGTAATGTAATGAAACCTGTGGGGCTGCTGCCCCTCTTTTGCTTCACATATACCTATCACTCTAGTGGAAAGTACCATAAGATGCATGTGTTGTAGTGTTCTTCCAAGAGAATGATGCATCTCTGACATGAACTCATGGTTTTCCAGTCCATTGAGCTTGTAGGGAATTCACTGCATTTGCCACGTAGGTTATTGAGTCTGGTCAGCACAGATTCATTCTGCAAGCACAAATGCACTACATTTGCCATGTAGTCTTGTTTCCTGCCATGTTCCGTACATTCCCCACCCAAACGTCACATCGTTTCTCACGTAACTGGCCTTACCAAATGGAAACATTTTTTGTTGGAAACAATCGGTCCTAAGCGCCTCTGTCGTGTCGAAACACTAAGACACAAGCGAAGCAAAGCATATCGAGGCACCAGCGAGTCAACCCTCGGAGGTTGAAGTAACCGCTGGAGGTTACGCGAAAGTCGAAGGTCATCGACCTTTGACCTGACAAATACAGCGCGACAGCAAGGACACACAACTGACTCGTTACAGGGCAGTTGCCCGAGTCGTCACTGTATCGAACCGCAACAGCAACAAGTAAAACACTTATAACCGTATCCTTTCATATTCCTTGTACTCTTATATAATCCTGTATCTCCTTGCTTTAATCTACTACGGCTCGCTTAGCCCGTCAGCGCGCTGACCGGACGGCTTGGACGTCGCGTGACGCTGCGGCCTGCATCGCACTCAGCAGCCTCCTCCCTGAGTCCGAGGAGGTCCACTTTACTCAGGTTCGCACCGCTGCTGCGTACCTCACTGTGATTAAGGCCCGCTACTCTACTCCCGCTACTGTCTCTCTTGGCCGTCTTTTCCTCCCGTTCCTGTTTCCTGATCTTGCCTCGTTTGAGCGCTTTGCTGACTTGATCGCTCACCTCCGCTCGCTCGACGCTAGTTACCGCGCTGCTTGCACTGAGGCACAGCTTGCACTGCTTCCTCCCCCCATGGCGATTACTGTCTATTTCATCGCCACTAGCCTCCCTGACCGCCTTGCCTCCGTTCGTGACGCGCTTCTGCTGAAGCACCCTAGTGAGCTGACTATCGAGGTCCTTGAGTCTGCACTCAAGGACGTCGAGAGCAACCTTCGTTCGGTAGCTGCCGCCTCTGGTACTGTGTCCCCCCCACTCTTCCACAGGTGCACAGTCCTGCAGTTACCCACCTTCACTGCCTCTCTTGCCACTGCCGCTACTGACGCGACTGCGGCTGCTGTTACGACTGCGTCGCGGTCCCGCGGCAGGGGGGGCAAGAAAGGTGGTTCTGGTGGAGGTGGAGGCGGAGGTAGCGGAGGTAGTGGGGGTGCTGTTGCGACTGGCGGTGGTGGGAGTGCAGCGTCTGGAGAGACCCCTCGTGCAGCGGCTGGTGACTCCACTGCACCTGCTGGTGGCGGCGACCCCCGAGCTCGTCAGTCGCCTCCTGTACTTCCGGCCCTGCTAGGTGGAGCAGCGGCGTGGTACCAGGCTCAGCGGCAGCAGCACCTTCAGCAGCAGCAGCAGCCCCTTTCCTCCCAGCACCCTCAGCAGCAGCAGCGTCAGCAGCTGGCTCCGGGGTCGGGGCTGCGTCAGCCCCAGCGCGGTACTGCTTACCCTCCCTGCCCCTACCAGGTTCTGACAGGTCCTCGTCGGGGCCACCCTTGTGGCCGCTTTCACCCCCCTGGTCAGTGCTTTGCTCAGCTCACTGACACAGTCCGGTTGGCCTACGGGGTTGGCGGTCCTGCTCCTGACTGGCTTCCTCTGGTTCAGCGCTACGGCTCCGCTCTGTGGGGCATGTCTGCTGAGCAGTTAGTTGATCTGATTAGTGCTCCTCATGCTATGTATGCTGTTGTTGACTCTAGTGTTTCTGACTCTGTTTACTCTGGTGTTGTTGGCTTGGGTGCTAGTCTTGCTCAGTTGCCTGTTGGTAGTGTAGGTTCTTGTGTAGACTCTAGACCAGCGACTACCTCAGAGGACGCTTCGCTGTCGTTCACGCTGGACTCTGGAGCCTCCCACTGCTTCTTCCGGGACAGCACGACACTTACACCACTTCCTGCGCCTGTTTCTGTTGCGTTGGCTGATCCCACTACGGGACCAGTCACTGCACGTCACACTACCACTTTACCGTGTCCTGCTGCTCCCTCCGGGTCTCTCACTGGGTTTCACGTCCCCTCGTTCTCCCGGAACTTGGTGGGCGTGCGACCCCTTGTGAGTCAGCACGTGGGTGTGTGGTTTGAGCCTTCTGGAGAGACTGCGGTGTGTGTTGACGGAGACTCTTACCAGCCTCTTGCTACCTTTACTGCTGAGCCGGGCTCGGGTCTCTACACTCTTCACACTGGCCCGCGTGCACCGCAGCAGCAGCCGCAGCAGCAGCAGCAGCCGCAGCCGCAGGAGCAGCAGCAGCAGCAGCACCAGCGGCCGCACCAGCAGCCGCCCCTACTGCCACTGCCCCCGGTCCCCCCCCCCGTTCGGGTCCCCGCGTCTCACTAGGTTGCTTCGTCCCCCCAGGTGTCTGTGTCATGTCTGGTTCCTACGTGTGTTCCAGTCGCTGCGTCGTGCTCCTGCCGGTCGCTTGCCCACCCCACCGTTCTGTGGCACCACCGGATGGGGCACCCGTCCCTTCCTCGTCTGCGCGCTATGTCCAGTCAGCGTCTTGTCCTAGGCCTCCCACGTGTCTTGCCGTCGCTGCCGCCTTCGCTTGCGCCGCCGTGTGGTCCCTGCGTCGAGGGTCGGCTGCGCGCCACCCCTCACTCCTCCTCCCTATGTCCGGCCACCGAGCCTTTTGAGACGCTTCACTTGGACGTCTGGGGCCCCGCCCCTCGTCTAGGCCCTGAGCGTGAGCGTTACTTTCTGGTGGTCGTTGACGACTTCTCCCGCTACACCACAGTGTTCCCTCTGGCGAAGAAGTCTGAGGTGACTTCTACGCTGATCAGGTGGTTGCTCACCACCGAGGACACTCGTGGTCGTCGTGTCAGCTGCCTCCACTCCGACCGTGGGGGTGAGTTTCGCTCCGGCATTCTCGCTGGATTGGATCGCGAGCAGGGCATTCGTCGGTCCTGGACGTTGGATTGGATCGCGAGCAGGGGTTACTGAGCGCCGCATAGGCCTGATCATGGAGATCGCCCGCACCTCCCTGACTCACGCCTGTGCCCCCCATTTTCTGTGGCCCTACGCGGTCAGGTACGCCGCGCACCAGCTGAACCTCTGGCCACGTGTCTCTCGACCAGAGGTGTCACCGACCAGTCTTTGGACAGGGTCCCCTGGTGTTGCGTCGCGGTTTCGCGTCTGGGGGTGCTTGGCTCTTGTCCGCGACACCTCCGCGGACAAGCTCTCGCCTCGTGCCGTCCCCTGTGTCTTCCTTGGTTTTCCTGAGGACTCCTCCGACTTCACCTTTTACCACCCTCCCTCTCACCGATTCTTTGACTCCCGTGACGTCCGTTTCGAGGAGTCCACTCCGTACTACGTCAGGTACCCCAGTCGAGGTCTCCCGGTTCCTCCTCCCCCCCTCTTCCTGACTGCAGCCCCCCCTCCTGCTCCCCCGGTACAGCCTCCCCCCCCTGGTCCAGCCCCGTCAGGTGTGTCCCAGGCTACCCCTCCTCCTTTGGTAGCCCCTCCGGTACAGCCTCCCTCCCCACAGTCCTCCTCGCAGCGTGCCGCTGGTGCTAGCTCTCGAGAGGTTGGTGCTGCGCCTGTTCCTGTACCGGTTTCTGGTTCTGGGGGTGCTGGAGTTGGAGCTGGAGTTGGTGCTGGAGTTGGCACTGGAGTTTCTGGTTCTGGGGGTGCTAGAGTTGGAGCTGGAGTTGGAGCTGGAGTTTCTGGTTCTGGAGTTGGAGCTGTCCCGGTGGGTGCAGAGGACTCTTGTCGTCCGGGAGCTGGTGCTGGTCGCGCGGCCACTGGGGGTGCTGCGTCTGGGGGTGAGGGTGCGCCTCCTTCGGGTTCAGGTGAGCCTGGGTCTGGAGCTGGTGTTAATGCTGCCTCTGGGGGTGGTGCGCCTAGTTCTTCTGGGGTGGACTCTGGAGCTGCCGCTGCTTCGGACACTACTCCACCCCCCCACCCCTACCCGACTAGGCACCAGGCTCGTGTTCGCCGTGCCCGTGACGAGCAGCTGGCGTTGGAGAGAGAGGAGAGGGAGTTACAGCGGCTGGAGGAGCAGCAGCAGCAGCTGGACCCGCAGGAGCAGCAGTCCCAGCAGCAGCCGCGTCCGCAGCAGCAGCAGCAGTCGCAGCCGCAGCAGCAGCAGCCACTTCCTCCTCCTGTCTCGGGTCTTCGGATCCTTGGTCTCCCCTCCCCTTCTCCTCCCTCCTCCGCCTCTCCTCCTGTCTACGGTCCCACGTTTCCTCCTCCTGACTCCTCCCCCGCTGTTTTCCCCAGTTCTCCGCCCTTGTCCTCTTCTCCTCCGTCTCGTTCTTGGGCTACTGGTCGCTCCCCTCGTGCTCGTCCCTCGTCTCCTATTCCCTTCACTGACCTTCGTACTGCCTTCCTTCTTTCTAGTCCACCTCGTCCGTCTCAGTCTGTGCTTCCGTCTCCTCCTGAGTCGGCCCTCACTGTGTCGCTCCCTACTCCTGTCACTGACTACTACCACATGTACCGTCCTGTTCTCTCTCGTGTTCTCGCCTCTCTTGTTACTCACCCTCGTGTCTCTGTGTCCTCTGTGTCCGCTCTTACTTCCGCGGTTACTGACTTTGCCTCTACCCGCCGCCTTGACTACGCCACCACGCTTGTGACTGCTCCTCCTACCAGTCCTCTGGTCGTCGGGGGTGTGTCTGCCCTTGGCTGTGACGCCCTAGAGGACAGGCAGTTTGAGCTAGAGTTCCTGGCGGCCGCTTCCCCTCATCTCTGTGCCATGCTCCTCGCCCCTGAGGGTGACCCCGACGCCCTTGACATTCCGACTCCTCGCACTTACGCTGAGGCAGTGTCAGGGCCTTGGGCCTCTCAGTGGAGAGCTGCCATGGACGCAGAGATGGCCTCCTACAGA